ATCCCTGAATGCCCTGCACCCTTACTTGGAAGAAATTTACTCACCAAAATGGGGGCCCACATTAGCTTTGCCTCAGGAGGCCCAAAGGTTTCTCTTGACACACAGACTTTGATTCTAACCATGTGTCTGGAAGATGAACATTGGCTTTTTAAAACTCCTCAGGAAGCCATAGATTCCCTCCAAATCTGGTTCCCTCCAAATACCCGGGGTCATGGGCTGAAATGGCTGGGATGGGACTGGCTGTGAACAGGCCCCCAATCATAATAGGACTTAAGGCCACCACATTACCCGTGGCAGTACGCCAATATCCCATGACCCAAGAAGCCTGAGAAGGCATTCAGCCCCACATTCAATGCTTTTTAACTTTGGGCATCCTAAAAAACTGTCAATCACCCTGGAACACCCCCTTGTTGCCTGTTAGGAAGCCAAGCACTAATGACTATTGTCCAGTACAGGACTTATGTGAAATTAACAAACGGGTACAGGACATCCATCCCACTGTGCCCAACCCTTATAATTTACTAAGCTCTCTCCCTCCTGAACGTGATTGGTATACTGTGCTAGACTTAAAAGACGCTTTCTTCTGCTTGCGGCTGTATCCTTCCAGCCAGGGCCTTTTTGCTTTTGAATGGAGGGATCCTGATACTGGTGTCACTGGACAGCTGACCTGGACTCGACTCCCTCAGGGCTTCCGGCACTCGCCAACCCTATTTGATAAGGCTCTCCACCAGGACCTAGCTCATTTCCAAGTCAGCCACCCCGAGGTGACTCTCCTTCAATATGTGGATGACTTATTGCTTGCAGGAAAAACAGAGGAAACCTGTCGGCAAGGGACAGAACTTCTTTTAAAAGAAGCAGCCTGGCTGTGATACCGAGCCTCTGCCAAAAAGGCCCAGATCTGCAAGCAAGAGATAACATACCTGGGCTACATCTTAAAGGACGGGAAAAAATAGCTAACAGACTGTTACCCAGATTCCCATTCCACGCACACCCCGACAGGTACGAGAGTTTTTGGGGACAGCAGGATTCTGTCGGTTGTAGATTTCTGGATTTGCCACCCTGGCAGCTCCCCTTTACCTGTTGACAAAAGAAAAGACCCCCTTCTTATAGGGTACTGATCAACAACAGGCCTTTAATGACATTAAGCGGGCCTTGCTATCAGCTTTGGCCTTAACGCTGCCGGATGTGACTAAACCTTTTACTCTAAATGTGGACAAATGAAAAGGCATAGCCCGAGGAGTGCTGACACAACTCTTGGGGCCTTGGAAAAGGCCAGTAGCTTATCTCTCTAAAAAATTAGACCCGGTGGCTGCAGGATGGCCAGCATGCCTGAAATCCATAGCGGCCGTAGCGACTCTGGTAAAAGACTCTGATAAACTGACTATAGGACAGAAATGATTAGTTATTGCTCCTCATGCGTTGAAAAGCATAATCCGGCAACGTCCTGACCAATGGCTCTCTAATGCCTACATAACTCACTACAAAAGCCTTCTGCTAGACAAAGACAGAGTCCAATTTAAATCACCGGCTACCCTCAATCCTGCCACCTTATTGCCTAATGCTTCTGCCCAAGGGTCCATCCTCCATACCTGCCAAGACATCCTGGCAGAGGAGACAGAAATCCGACATGATTTGCAAGACCAGCCATTGCCGAATGCTCAGCTAACCTGGTTCACCAACGGGAGCAGCTATCTCCTGGCAGGTAAAAGGGTGGCAGGGGCAGCTATAGTAGACAACAACCAGGCCATCTGTGTGAATAGCTTGCCTGAGGGGACTTGGGCCCAAAAAGCTGAACTTATAGCCCTAACCCAAGCCTTACACCTAGCTAAAAACAAAACTGTAAATATCTATACAGACAACCGGTATGCCTTTGCAACTGCCCACATACATGGGGCTATTTATAAACAACGGGGCCTGCTGACCTCAGCCGGCAAGGACATCAAACACAAAAAACAAATCCTCAGTTTGTTAAAAGCCATACATCTCCCCAAGCGAGTGGCTATTATTCACTGCCCAGGACATCAAAAAGGAAACAATCAGATAGTGAAAGGAAACCGGCGAGCTGACCATGAAGCTAGGCAGGCAGCTAAGGGCTTCATTTATTGCCGGCCCAACCATTATTAGTCTCAGCTGAGGGGTACCCTGCCGAGGCTCTTACCTATACTGAACAAGACCTATTAGAAATTGATATAATGGGCCTTCACTCGGTGACCCCCAAGGGTATACAGAAAAACCCGGAAGAAAAAACTATCCTCCCTCGAAAGCTAGCAACTGTTTTCCTCAAGCAGATTCACAGACTGACCCATCTGGGCTCAAAACATTTAATAACCTCCGTTCAGCGGTCCCCATATTACATTTTGGACTTACACAAGCTCGCCAGATTAACAGTAGACAATTGCAAGCCTTGTCAACTCGTAAACGCCTGCCCAAATAAAATGCCTCCTGGAAAAAGGCTACGAGGAGATTGTCCCGGAAGCCACTGGGAAATAGACTTGACTGAAATTAAACCAGGCAGGTACAGTCTCAAGTATCTGTTGGTGTTCATTGACACCTTTTCAGGATGGGTAAAAGCTTTCCCCACTAAAAAAGAAACTGCACGAGTTGTTGTCAAAATAATCTTGGAAGAAATCTTTCCCCGGTTTGGGGTACCCCGCACCATCGGGTCTGACAATGGCCCGGCCTTCGTCGCACAGATAAGTCAGGGATTGGCCAGGATCCTGGGGTCCAATTGGAATTTACATTGCGCATATAGACCCCAGAGCTCAGGACAGG